TTTACAATTCTACTTGTCATAAGGCATCAGTATTAGGCCTAATACATTTTAAACACTACATTCTTTATCTAGTTCTTTAGAGATTTTCAAGATTTAGAAGAATGTATAACAATAGAATTCCAAGCACATTATGTTTGTCATATCCAGTGAGCGACGACACGTTTGGCTCAATCCTGAGCTCTTCAGGTCAGCTGGGATACAGCAAGCACAGCACTGTTGGGAACATTATTTATATAAGCCATTTGATACAACAACAGCTGTTATGTGTGAAAGCCTTTTACACACTGTCGATGAATGATTACAATTATACTTGTCATAAGGCATCAGTATTAGGCCTAATACATTTTAAACACTACATTCTTTATCTAGTTCTTTAGAGATTTTCAAGAATTCGAAGAGTATTTGATGTAGCCGAGCTGACCTGAAGAGCTCTAGATTGAGAGAAGCGTGTCGTCGGCAACAGATATAACAAAAATTTGCTTTAAATGTCGGGAAATCTATTACTTTAAAAACATGTTGACAACAACCTTTTCGTTTTTACAAGGACTGAGAAACAACAGTCGTCGGAGATAACAACCTTTTTAAAGCGGGAATGTGGCTGGAATACTTTTATTATACACACTTCCAATTCTTGAAAATTCTCAAGGGACGAGATAAATAATGTAGTGTTTAAAATGTAATAGGCCTAACATTAATGTTTTATGACATGTATAATTGTAATCATTTACCTCCAGCATGTGAAAGGCATGGATATCTTGTAATTCCATTTTTTCACACACAATCAACTTGAAAACCATATTGAACGATTCAAGAGGAATTTGACTAAAGTCATGATAGTATTAATCTGTATTTTATTTTATTTTTATCACAACTATTCGATGCATTTGTTTTCAATGTTTCGCTAGTTTCGAAACCTTATTTTGCTTTTACTTTAAATGTCAGAAAATTATATTACTTTAAAAACATGTTGGCAACACCTTTTTCGTTTTTAAAGCGGGAATCTGTAAGTTTATATTCTGTGGTAACAAGTTTATTTTGCGCTTGATTTTACTTTTTTTTTAAGTCACGTACTGTTCGATTACGCTCAACAAATATTTTTTTTGCTAAGACTAGACATTTCCATCGTATATATTTTTTAAACATCTTTTTAAAAATAAAGATAAAACAACGTTTTCAAAATCGTTTTTACGGATATACACAATAACGCAAGTATATAAAAGATTCAAATAAATATCTATAAAACCAAATAGATTGCATTGAAATCTCGGAAGAGAGAAAAACATATAATACCTATATAGGTATAGTTTCCATGTTTCGAGTGAAAAGGCTTAGAAACGATCAATTTTTTTTATCTTGCTATTTTTTTTGTGGACTTACTCTACAGAGCTCTCAAGTTTATGATAAATGAAGTATAAGTATAGTTTTCTTCACAGTATATTCTCATAAACCTGTGATATCTTATTAACATGGCGGACTCTAATTCTGCAGGCAAACATGTAAGATTTTTACGATTTTCATAATATAGGTTCTTGCTCATTTAAGTGGTGGAAACGTTTATCTGACCTAACACTGCGATGTGACAGATAACAGGTCTATATTGACAAACTGTTTTTGAATCCAAAGTGGTCACCCGAAGTTCGGGTATCTAAATTTAAAGATACAAAAAGTAATACAGTTATTAATATTTTTTTCTGTGCTTGATGAGGGGTAATTTATTTCTCCCAAATAGTGTGAGCTTATAATGCTAAAGTTAGAGGTCCCATCTTTGCGGTGGGTACGGCACAGATAGCCCGTTGTGCAGTTTTGCGCTTAAACAATAAACTCACAAACATATTTCTTATTTATTGGTTACATATACATTATAATTTGGATGCAGTCTAACCAATCAAATCCACTGAAAAGATGGAAATGTAGATCCGAAGCTGCGAAGAACAGCATTTTTCACTTAATGTAATACTGTTATTAACAAACATTTATGGAACCGACAACATAATTTGTGGTTACGAACTATAATGTTTTGTGTTAAAAGGCCAACTTTTGGAATGTACTAGTCACGTTCTTCGTGCATTTTTTATTTGAACTTCTAGAAAAAAGTGACAATCGAAAATTAATATTATGAACATACAACAAATTATTACCTTCAAAATTATAAAATTATAGATGAAATACTGAACTAATAATACTAGAAATAGGAGTAAGTAGCAGAGATATACCATCAGATATTTATCATAAGGATTATTCCCCCCCTTCTTTTCACCAGATACAGCTTTTATGTAGAATGAGTTTTAACATATATCTTATATTTCCTTAACGTAGAACGTTACTTAAATGTTTTTCAGAGAAAACCCGTGTATGTTAGATATCTGAATCAATTATTTTAATCACGAAACCACTTAAAAGAACAATACAATTTCATGTATAGTATCTTATAAAAGGTTTCGGTTGTGTCTAACCTAGTACAATAACTAAAATAGTAGCTTATAACTGTTGGAGTTCTTCGGATTTAAAGTGAGATCTTCCTGGTCTTATGCAGAAACATACAGGTACTTTGTGTGGAAATATACAAGTACTTTATGTGGAAACATATTAGTACCTCATGTGGAAACATACAGGTACTTTATGTGGAAATATACATGTACATCATGTTTACATTCAAACAAGACCTTGCAACACGAGAAAAGCTCTAAAATCGACATTCAGAAAACTTGGTGCGATTTTCTTTCACACTTGATCATTCCACATACAAAATGTAAGAAAAGTTTCCTTGTTGTTGTTTGTTTTTTTGACATACCGTTTAGCCTGCATTGATCAAATTAGAAAAATAATTAAATATTCCCTTGCTTAGAAACACATTTCATTCCTAGACTGACGATCTCCAAATGCCGCAATATATGTTTCAACGACACTACTGTTTCAGTGTCTACCAAACAAGTCTACTAATGCTTTCGAGTAGTTATTTATACCTAATATAATCAGGTGCTTGCAATATCTGTAAAATATGTATTTAAAAACATATATATATATATATATCTGTTTGGATGCTTTTTGTAATGTAATAAAATGTAAAATGCAAATATGGAAAGATTGTAAACTTTTAACCGATTTCAGCAAAAGCTGTATGACACATAAGTAGAGAACTGTGGTGTTTCTACTGTTATTTATTGTTTAATTAAGTAAACAAAACGTTTTTATTCTTTGAAATGAATATTTAGAGACTTATAAGTTCGCGCTTTTCTGATATAAATATCGTGTTCTGCTTTACAAACAACACACGTGAAACGATTGGGTTTTTACGATGAGGAAAGAATTTTTGTTTATTTTGCTCTAACATTTATGTTTGTTTGAATTTATGCACAAAGCTACACAATGGGCTATCTAAACCCGGTTTCCAGCGTTGTAAGTCCGCAGACATACTGCTGTGCCACTGGGGGCTGTTTGTTTGATATTACTCGATTAATGCTAAATAATTAAGTGGATTTAACTAATATCAGTACGATTTTGTAATCAATAAAAAGTAAACTACACTGAGAAAGTCAGAAAGTCAACTGAAAGGAGATTGGATTCAGATCACGAGTGTTTTCGAATTTTCACAGCTATATGAATAATATACAAAGCTGAGGCTTCACTCGTGTTAATATATCACCTGGTTTCTGGTACAAATTTGTTGACCCAATTTGATAATTTCTGGAAAATCATGAATGACCACATAAAATTAACATTAATTTGACGTGTATACAGAGAGTGATCTAAAAGATGGTTGTTCCACAACAGTATGCCTTTTATTTTTATTTATTTATTTTTTATGTTCCAGATTATCACAAATATGAGTGGATAGTACATAAATATGGAACACCGACAGACAAAGAACCAACATTATAAATACTGTACAAGTTGGTCGATCTGTTAACATGTAGTTTTAAGAATCCTTTATAAGTTGATTAATCTACTACAATGTAGCTATACGAATGATTTGAGTTACTTGGTAGAGATTTTGGTTTAAGTCGTTTGATTCTGAATTCAGAAAGAATTCGGGGTCAAAGGAAACCGGGGGTATTCGAAAAATGATTTATCTTCACCCCACTATTGTGTGAGAGTTATACGGAATCTGTCCAGGTTGGTTAACTTGTATCATTGTAGCCTTAAGAATCCTATTCATACTGATTAACTTGCTACAATGTAGCTTTGGAAATCCTGTTGGTTAATTTAAGAGGAACCTATTCAGGCTAGTTAACATGTTCCAACTTATCTTCAAATACGTTTACAATCTTTAAATTCTGATAAAATAAGCTTCTATTATCCGATGTTGTGGCTATGCATCTATATCAAGACACTACAGTTCACAGAGATTTTCAAAAAGATCTAAAAAAAAAGCAAAACTGAAACTGTTTTATCCTGAGTCTAAATATGTGAAGTGTTATCTGAATATGTTCCAAGTATTTCAATTTGATTTACAATAACTAAATAAAGATGTTCTTAAGAGCCTTTCTAAGTTAAGGAGCTCAACAGAACCTTTCTAGATTAATTAAACCTGTTAAAAAAGTAGTTCAATAGAACCTGTCTAGATTAATTAACCTTCTAAAAGGTAGTTAAATACAACCTGTCTAGGTTAATTAACCCGCCAAAACGTGGCTATAGTTCAATATAACATGAGCAGGTTAAATGTCTTGATAACATGTTGATCCATGAAACTTCTCAGTGGGGCATTTAACTTCTTAAAATATAAACGTATAAAATGTATAAGCTTCGCAAATTTAGCCCAACTTCATGCTGTTATATATGTATTATATATTTACACTAAAATCTCCAATATTCTGATAACAAAATCATTGAAAAATGTTTCTAGATGAAAATTAATTTTAAAATTTAATCTTATTTATTATAGTTTTGTGTTTTGTTCGAATATCACTAGTTAACTGTTAGTTTGAATAGTTACATAACCATTTCAACTACATCAAGAAGAATGTGTGAAAAAACTAACTGAAATTCATATTTTCATTCAGGATTTTGCTAGGAAGCTATGCAGCACTGATAGCGTTCCCTGATAGATAATTACAGAGGAAGCAGTTCGGCCAGAAACGGATGTTACAGGAAGTGCGTTGTACCAACAGTTGAGGTACACAAGGTCAACCAATTATCCAATAATGCGTAACCGTCTATTTTGTTTTGCGGAGAAATATTTACAGACTAAGTGACTGTTTAGATTAATAAGCTGTATTGATAAAGCATTAACAAACACGTGCCTAAATATATATTTCGATTTGGTATATGTCTTGTTCTCTGAGGAAACAGCCGTAACTGATAGGGGATATTGATAGATAAGATAAATCTTAGTTTGTTAGAAACTCTAGGTGTGGGAGGAACGTGTAAGTTATGACTTTGGAACTGAACACCTGTTTTTATAGTTATTCTCGCAGGTGAAACAAACTGCCGAATAACTGAAGCAAAGATGTGAATCATACCTAACGAGTTTAAGTCTTTTACCATAGCGACGCTACTTATTTTCAAGTCTGGCCTAATGAGTATCTGGAGCAGTGATTCTGAATCTCAGGATATGGCTGGGTTTTCTACAGAACTTCTTCATATTCCTGGATCTGAAATCAACAAGCCTTCTACCTCGCGAAATACCAGCGGATCAAGACGGAGCAGCCCTAGAAGCAGTCTACGTTATCGTTCTCCGTCTCCAACTAATTCATCCAGCCATGTTGGTGGTACGCATTACAAGGAAACAACGCTGGTAGATGAGCACTTGACAACCGCAATTACAGACTCTGCTGGCAGGACTAACTCACCACAAACACCTTTGGTGAGAAGGGTATCAGTGAAACCTTCTCGTCATTCAGACGACGATATCGGTGTGGGGCTCTCTGGGGGAAAAGAAAATGGCCAAGGAATCTTTGTGTCAAGCGTAAAAAAAGGTAGCGGAGCAGACAGGTCTGGATTGAATGTAGGGGACCAGATTCTAGCTATCAATAACATTTCATTTTCGGACTTCACGCTCCAAGAGGCTATAAATGTAAGTAAACCTGAAGCTATAACAATGCTGTGATATGTTTAATTCAGCTCTGATTCACGGTAACTTGTGATAATAGTTAATTGTTCTACTACTAAATAATTGTTCATTTTTGTAATATATATATATGTATATTATGAAGGCATTATTGGTAAACAGAAAAAAAAGATAAAACCTGAAAAACTATAGTCAAGAACTAAGAATATCTGTTTAAATTATAATAGTTTTAGAAAAGATCACTATTTCAGACGTTGAATGTGTTATATTGACACTACTTTAAAAGCTCACCCTGTTGTTGCAGCCCATTTCATCTCTTTTGGTCATACTCCATTTGACGACCCTGCATCTTGACAATAACTCTACAGCATATTTCCTTTCAAAAAGACTCTGTTGTAAGGCTGTTGTCTACACATAGCCGTTCTCCTTGCATGCATCCCATAATTTAGCTAGTGTATGAGGACGGCTGTTTCTAACGCCTATTTAAACAGTCCGATCGCACAGGCGACTTGACCGGTATGTGTTCGTATGGAATAGCATGAATACCAGTTTCATTCTTCATTTGCTTGAGGCATGCGACGGTTTAACATGTAAGTTGTGAAAGTAGAATCTATACGTGACTTCTATCGCTTCTCGAGGAAAAGTCAGAGATAATTCTTTATTAACTTTGCATACTGCTGCCTGAGACACATACACAACTTTTGACACTGCCCTCTTTGTTCGGGGTTTCTCACCTGTTACAAGACGCTGCACTTTGTTTACCACACCTGATGTACGACTTGTTGAAGGTCTTTTTCTGGATGGTCCTGGGTCTTCAAGTTGATACATATTCTTTTTCCCACTTCCATTGAATACAACAGATATTGCTGTTTTGGAAATTCTAAGTCTCTGATCTGAACACATCTTTACGTATAAGTGTTTGACTATTTTGCGTCGGAAAGTGCTATTTCAAATCCTCTCCAAAGATAATCATTTTTCAGTGGCATCACACTACCTATGAACCGCAAAATTAATTCAAAACATATTTCTGATACTTTCCGTTTCACCAAGACTTATGTTGGCTATGGTTGTCACATAATTTTTAATATATCGTACTCAACTCTATGTATGTGTCTCAGGATCAAATAACAAGACTTCAATACAGCAAAAATTAGAGTAATACTTTGATATCGCTAAATATGAACACCAATGAATTTAATTTTTTTTTTACATGCGGGCTAGGCTGACTTTATGGTTAGAGTGTCGGACTACATACTAAAAGGTGAAATGTTCGAGCTTCGATGCGCCACCAAACAAATTCTGCACTTACAGTGGTATGGGTGTTATAACTGTGAGAGTCAGCCACTATATTCTATTAAGAGTAGTCACGTAAACGTGCTATTGATTAGTTGTCCATTCGTTAGTTTAAGTTAGAAATGGCGATAATTGAGTCTAGTGGTCTCTGACCTGACCGTTTAACCCATATGTCGCATAAAGTGCGGTTCAGGTTAAAAATCCCAATTGCCTTTATATGCAATAATTTACATTGGATAATGATTGACCTATGGATTTAGTATCTTAAGATGTTCATAACCATTTAGGCAAACTTTCAGAAAGTAATGTTTGGCATTGGTTCGTGAATATATATATTTTGACATAAGGATTGTAATGCGCATGCTTAATAGTAATGTTTCAATTATGAAGGTGTCAAATAATCTGAATAACGTATATTTATATTGTTAATAGCTCCTGATTAAAAGTATGATAATTATATAGATCTGGACCAGAAAGTAATATATAAGCTAATGAAATCAATTATATACAACTAACTGACAAGAAATACAACTACATAAGTGAATGTAGAAGTAAACTAAAATGTGTAGTGATTAGACTGCATGGAATAATCAGATTGCTAGTATTGCGCGATTGACAATACATACATGTATATCTATTCCATCACTAACATACATCTATGTAAGTTAAAGTGGATTCAAATTTCAGGCAATATTTTCAGTTTGAGTTACTTTTGTCATTTGTCCGATATACGAGGGATAAACATAATACATAATATCTCAAAATAGGTTTTAAACAGCAAGTTTATGTGCTGCTATAACCACTACAGTTTTATTTACTTCAGGAAAATGAAAAATGGGAAATAATTTTGGCTCACATATTAGCTTTTCATTCTGCTACCATTACACGTAGATTGAGAAGTCTGAATGGTGGAGCCGAATAAATCAATACTACATTGATTTCAGAAAAGAATATTGAAACAAAAACATATTATTGAGATCGACAATGTAGGTATTATTAGAAATAAAATACTAAGGGATAAGCAATAATAAAAGACTTGGATATTGTGTTACGTAACACATATTCAGATATTGAACCAGACTATGAAAGTTTTAACTGAAACGTTTGTTTATAATTAAAGAGACCAACATTTGGGGGCGAATGCAACATGTCTCCGCCACGCAATCCCAGCATGACCTATTTTAACTCCAGAAAAATCGTGAAAAACACAGGAAGATTTAAATATGTCTGTATCATTGCTTGGGACATGCAAGAAGGTATCTGTTTATCAAATCCCATCTCAATCCTATGTAAAGTGGTCGAAATACGGCGAAGTAATTGTCACCACCCCTCAAATTATGCTTTTTGGGGTATCTTGATCTCTCTCCCCCTATAATGACTAAAAATGGGTAATTATAAAATACGGCCGAGTAATTAACCAAAACCCCCAAATTATGTTTTTTGTAAGCTCTGAACCCCCCCAAAAAAAGTTAAACGGGCAAATCCAAATTTTTATATGTTAATGTGTGGGGCGCCTGAACAATTATATTTGTGCCAATTTTCGTCTTGGTTGCTGTAAATATTACCGCCCATAAAATCCTTGAAAAGATTTAGATATGAAAAAGTATAAAATTATCTGAGCGTATTAGACCAGGGTATAACCCTACCAAGTTTCAAGTCAATCCTCCGAGAAATGAAGGAATGGCGGTCGATTGAAAAGTGTTTGGAAGAAGAAGAAGAAACAATAGAAAAACAGTATAAATTGCTAAAAAGTATTTATTAATCTTAGGCTTTAAATTATTTTATTTGTTTTGGGTTTTTCGTGCAAAGCAACACAAGAGCTATCTACACATAACTATCCCTAATTCTGAAATGATAGACTAGTGGGAGGACAGGTAGTTAACAGCAATCTCCACCTACATCGATTTCCCCTTATTTGATAGAACAGTATAATTTGACCGTCACTTTTATAATGTGCCAGATTAAGCTTACTGGAGGCCCAGGGGCTAACGTAGCTTTAGGGTCCAAAAGACTGGATGTATTTTTCAAATCTTTGTATTAATCCAGCACTACAGTTGTGTGACATTCACTGCTCCAAAATGTAAGGCACGTTTTTGATGAAACACCCCGGCCTCTCAGATTATTAAGGTACGCCCAAACCGAACTCTGAAATTTCCATCATCTAAACAAATATGAACGGCATTTGGTAAAAATATAGGTATTTAGTTGGGAATATACTCGATACTGTGTAATATGCTTGTTTTTTTGTTGTTGTTTTTCAATTTCTTTTTACCAAATGCAATATAAGCACGTTAGTTTGGTTTGCACGTAGATTCTCTACTCGGCAAAACGGAAAGTTCAACTGACCGTGATTCCTTCTCGAAGCCAAGAAACTACTCATAATGTGGACCTTCTTCACTACCTGTGGATGGACAGCGAGGGACGACCAGTTTCTCCGCTGATGGACTTAGCCTATGATTCTTCGCACCACCGCGGAATTGGAGGAAGGGACAACGGGATCAGAACTGTGAGTTCAGAAACATATTTTCGACCAATTTTTAAACCTAGTTTTAAATCTTATTTTCGGGAAGCTGATTTCTTGCTACCGAGTGATGGAGTAAGGTTTGGTTTTAAAATAACAATGTGAACACCTTATCATTACCATTATATATTAAATATGTTGTCAAAAGTGACAGTGGAACATGTAAATATAATCTTCACCTTTAGTTTTTGTTGAAGGCAGGGACTGATACATGTAAAGGGAAGTTTTCAGATGACAAAGGATTTACCCACACACACACAAATTTCATTCTGATTCGTATAAATGCTCCATCATCTTGTTTAAATTATAACACAAAATCCTTATTTTATGATATCTAATGCTGTTTTGTACAATCCCACTATAATTGTTTGTTTGTTCGTGAACTCCTCCCACAGTTTTGGAGCTAGCAGGACCAATATTGGCATGCGAACTTTGGGTGGTCCGGGGGATGTTCTTGTCTATATAGGGTATCCCCTTCTAGGGGATACCAAAAGGGGCTAAAATGCACTCGGAAAGCAATCGAAGCATGATGGGGATCTAAAAGTAGGTCTTCAGGGTCGTTGAATCAGAATATGGTATTATATTTTTTGTTCCTGTCTCCCCTTGTTATCGGAGCACCATTTCTGAAATTGTGTTCATACCCCCACTCACCAGCTAGCAGGACCAAACTTGGTACAGCTATAAAAAGTAATTGGGATAGTGGAGGAGTTTGATTAGCATACTGAGACGTCCTCTGTGAATCATGAGAGGACCTTTGAATTCCGCAGTGCAGTGTGAGCGTTATATACTAGTAACGCGAAATCTTTATTTTATTGCACGAGCACTGTTTTTATATTGAGACATAAATACTTTTAATGCTAAGACATGAACACCATTTTATGTTTTGAAGTAAATTCTTCTGTATCTTATACCACAAAAATATAACAGAAGTCTCTCAAATTCCTGTTGAGATATATGATTATTTTTCAATTACATGATAATGAATATCAAACTTAGTTACAACCTCAAAGCCAGTCAAGCAAATCTACAAAGTGGTGGATTTTGAAAACCCTGCTTTATAAGTACTCTGCAAGTACCTATCGGAAAATGATTACTGGCGTACTGTCTAAACAATTTGTTGAAATAAATAAAGTGCTCCGGTATCTAATTATGCTCTTGTTTATCCTTAATTAGAATATACTAAAGCTATCTTCCAACACTACTTTGAAATAAGATATACATATAGTATGAAACGTAAGGGGAATGTGTAAATTTATTATTGAAAACTATATAATAAACTGTTGCTGTCGGAATAACAATTGACGACATTATATACTTGAAATTCGTAAGTATGACTATGCTCCTGCTCGCAATTTTCTAAGAGTATATAAAGAACAGTTAGTATAAAACAACACTGATTTATGCTGGCGTTATGGTCTGAAATACTGATCAAAATTAAGTGTGTTTTGTTCCAGCTTTACAAAAGGCCTAGTACATGTCGTGATTAGCGTGATAAATAATTCTCTACTTAACAGTCTAAATTTTCTGTATTAACCGCCACGGGATATTACTCACTCAAGAGTAATCCGATTAACTAAACGGAATTTCTAACAATTTGTTTTCTACAAATTACATTTCTTCAGTTCTCTTCCGTCGTTTTGCCGATTTTTATTTTTCTGAGACTGAAGTATTTACTTGGAACTGTAGCTATAGATATATATGTATATATGTTAATCCTTATATAACTCTTTGATTTTATGGCAGGCTTTATCATTTGATAATAGTTGGATGAATCAAACTTTGATTAATTGTAGTTATTATTCAGTTTCTAGCATCTTATTTTTAACACTATTATTAACTTTTTTATAACAAAAATACAATGTCTATAAAGTCTACGCAATCTTCACGTGTCGTTTATTTGAAGCACGAAGATAAAAAGTAATTCTGTTGCATACTGTCCTCTTCTCTCAGGATTAAAATATTTTATCTAATGCTTGCACATACAGTGTATTACATGAACACAATACGCCTAATACTTGTGAAAATAAAATGTATCCTTTTCTGAACTTTTGGGAGTTTAACTATCAAAGGATGTATCAGCTTCACGTATGAAAGACTAAATCCAACAGCTAGTGAACTACGTCATCCTAATTTCAAAATTTTGATAAATAAGTCAGCTTGATAAAGCAAAAATAAACAAAGCAAAATCTCATTTTTACCATATATATCATATATAGCATGAAAATATTTTTTGAAGTAGCATACACGCGTAGTATAATAAGTTTTTTTATTCCTAACAGATATAAAGTTATTTGATAACATCTGAACAAGATTCTACCGTATCTTTAAGTTTTGTCTGAAAATTTCATTTGCCACTCTGCGTTAATAATGAGCATTACACCAGAATTGGTCTAAAACAGTCTTGTAAAGTCTAACCAATAACAAACCAATTCTACCATACCAGAACATAAGTGGCGTTTAAAATCAAGCTTCTAATATCTATCTGTGTACATTAATGTCCTCACATTAGATAGAGGAGCCTCAAATAGCTTAATTTCTCTAACATGAGAATAGATAGCTTTATAGAAAATGGTTGAGAAAGAACGTTACGAAAAATGTCCAGCCACTAGGTGGTAGCACAAATTAAATATATGAATTGTCTAGCTTGGGCTGGGCTTGGTTTAGATAAATCACACTTATACGCTCGTGAAAAGACAAGAATCGCCAGTAAAATAAAGCTGAATTTAGCTCACTAGTGGCTCCAAAAACTAAAAACTGCCTTACCGAGCTCATACTCCTTCAACCGATGCAATTGAAACAAAACATAGAACGCTAATGAATGCTTCTGTCTTCTATATCTGAAGATTTGGTTTCTACCGGCGCAGAAAGTCGTATAATAGAAAAAACGTACGAAACAAATAAATAGATTTAGTTTTAATGAATTATATCTGCCACAGGCTTAGAAAACTTTAGGGTCAAACTTTCACTTTTGATATCAGGTTATTCTAGTTGCACAAATCTTGGAATACATGTGCTGAGTCGATTGTGTGTTTTTCGTGACTTATTGAGTCGATTGTGTGTCTATCGTGACTTATTTAGATACCAAAGCCGTCCTGATAAAAGTCATGTTTCAGATAGTATGAAAAGTGTTGTACACTAGCTATTTGTGAATGAAAATGATTCTTTATTTCTGATAATATAAAAGCAAATTATGTTGTGATGAACAAAGAGTAAAACTCTTTCATGAACATATAAAATAAGAATATCGAGTATCTAGCACAGAAAATAAAGGTAATAGATCAAGTACAAGCAGAAAAACTCAAATAATAGCTGAGTTCAAATAATGTACAATATGGTTTATTGTGCAACACAAATCACGTGGCTAATATACAATACATATCATCTGGTTCAATATGTAATACAAATAATGTGATTCAATATGAATATATAAATTTTGTGGTTCAAAGTGCACTGTACATCACGTGGTTCACTTGTGAAACACGAATCAATTACTTGTCAGCGCAGACTTTACAATGTCAGTCTTCTAAAGTGTACCTGCAAACCTGAATTTCTTGTATCTTAAGAGAGTTTTTATTTTATATTCATTCACATAACAAGCATAAACAATCTTCAGTTAACTGCACATTGTTGATAAAATGAAATTTTGAGTTACTGTTACAAAATGCTGTAGTCTCTTGTTAGATCTAATATTATCAAAACTTATAACTTTAAATTTAACACCCGAACACCAACAAAATAAATAAATTTAAATATCATACCTAAGTATTTTTACATGTACATTGTACCTAGTGGATGAGTACAGTTTTTAATACTAAACATTGCAGATTGTCCTAAGTATTTCTACATGTACATTGTACATAGTGGATGAGTACAGTTTTTAATACAAACATTGCAGATTGACCTAAGTATTTTACATGTACATTGTACATAGTGGATGAGTACAGTTTTAATACAAACATTGCAGATTGACCTAAGTATTTTACATGTACATTGTACATAGTGGATGAGTACAGTTTTAATACAAACATTGCAGATTGACCTAAGTATTTCTACATGTACATTGTACATAGTGTATGAGTACAGTTTTTAATACAAACATTGCAGATTGACCTAAGTATTTTTACATGTACATTGTACATAGTAGAAGAGTACAGCAGTTTTTAATACAAACATTGCAGATTGACCTTTAAATTACAAAACAAAATGCTGCTAGACGTGGAAGTAAACATTTTTGAAAAATATTCCAAGACTGTTACAGCTACTCATTAAATCATTATAATATTATATTGGACAAAAATAATATACAAAGAAAGCTTAACCCAGTGCAGTGTTTACAAACAACCAAGTATCCTAGCAACCATCTATGCCAGCAGCTGTGCACGTGTAACGAGACAGCAGTTCTTGGGAAGCTAGGTGTGCTCTGTTGGTTATAGGTTAAAGATGAAATCCTGTAACCTTGGAAAACACACGCACTGCAAACTTAAAGAAATGAGCAGGTATTTAGGAAATAGGTTATAACAGAGATATTTGAAAACTGCGCATAAATGGTGCCTCCAATGTTTCCAGTGATCAAACGTGACCTTTTCTCCTCGCAACTCTGTCACTGTGTGCTGTCTCAATAGCTGGCTGCATAAGATTTTTGAGCTATAGTGATAGCTGCTTGAAACAAAATCTTAGAGAACCGAACACAAACAAAATATACTGAGTTCGGTAGGGCTTGAAACTAACATATTTCCCAGAGTAGTTAGATAGACGATATTGAAATTTACCTTACATGACAATATAAAGTGGATTACATGGTCTAGACGGTGAGCTTTATCAGCATCAAGTTTCTCACATATACACACAGAGTTTTGGTTTTCATATTGTTTTCATTACGTTTAGTACTATTATTCATTACGTATAGTATTGTTATTTCGACTATCTATACTCTCATTTCTCATACAATTTCTTATTCTCTCTCCCCCTCCCAAACCTTTTTCATG